TATTTATATTCGAAATTGCATGAAAATTGGAAAACAGGAATCTATAAGCTTATCCAGGCAAAAAGCTACCTACGTACCGAATTTTAAGCAAATCGGACTGTAAATACGATTTTTTCGAATAGATCAGTCCCTGGTCCACTTCTCGAAAAAAATTGATCACATATGCTAATACATGCTGAAAAGCTACCTGCACACCGAATTTTAAGCAAATCGGACCGTAAATTCGATTTTTTCGAATAGATCGGTCCCTGGACCACTTCCCGGAAAAAATGGGTTATATATGCTAATATATGCTAAAAAGCTACTTAAGTACTAAATTTTAAGCAAATCGGACTATAATAAGATTTTTTCGAATAGACCGGTCCCTGGTAAAACATGGTGGTTACCGAAAGCTATTTCTATACAAAATTTCATGAAAATCGGACCAGCCGTTCGCGAGATTACCTGTTACAAAAAAAAGGGACTTCTCTTTATATAATTAGTAAAGATTAGTATAGATATCCTAGCGAATAAATATCAAGTTTTGTAAGTACTTTTGTTAATTTGCTGGGGTATTTGAGCAAAATTTAGAAGATCGCTAAATGATAAAAAAACTGCTATGTAAACTAAAAATGGCGTCCACGGTGTATTTGACAGTTTTATCAATTTTTACTTGAAAAGCGTTCCCGTACTTTTCGGTTTTTCTTTCCTTCTCTGAGAGCAATTTTGCTTTTTAACAGTTTTACAGGTTTTATCCAGAAAAGAAATTTTCGTGTAAAATTTTTCTGAGGCAGGACGCAAATCTTGGAGGATGGTTCCATGCGCAGAAGTGGAAAACTTTTGAATGCCACATTCGCTTGGGAGTGGCCAGAAGCGATTCTTGTGCATACGGTTCAAATCGCAGCTCACAACGTTCGGATATTTATATCCACTTATCCTCTGGATAGAAACCAAACAACCGCTCGGGAGCGAGCTAAAGTGAGAAGGCGTAAACCCCGCCCAATGAAAAATTCCAACAAGCCTCGGATGAGACCCCATTTTTTTGATGACGACCACGGCAAACTATAAAGGACTATGATTTGAGGGTACGCAAATGGAATATCCGGACCCTTAATGGGGAAGGTCCGGCTGGGTGATGTCCACGGGAAGGCAAAGGCTGACATCACAGCCATCCAAAAAATGCGATGGACGGGGCAAGGAAAAGTGTGAAGCCTTGCGACGTCTACTACAAATGCCACGCAAAGGAACGCAAATTCGGTGTTGGATTCGTGGTAGAAGATACGACTCCGTTGTCGAGTACTGGCCATAATCCTCACAAAAGCTAGATTCTTCAACATATCGCTCATCTGCGCCCATGCCCGACGGAATAGAAGGACGAGGCGTCCAAGGATCTCTTCTATGAGCGCTTGGAACGAACATATGAGCGCTGCCCCCGACACGATGTCAAAATCGTGTTCGGCGATTTTAATGACAAGGTGGGCAAGGAAGGGATCTTTGGCGCCACTGTCGGAAAATTCAGCCTCCACGACGAAGCGTCCGATAACGGACTGAGGCTGATCGACATCGCCGGGGCCCGAAACATGGTAATTGGTAGTACTAGGTTCCAGCATAAGAACATCCACCAAGCTACATGGCTGTCTCCAAACCGAAAAACGAGAAACCAAATCGATCATGTTTTGATAGACGGAAGGCATGCTTGCAGCGTTTTAGAGGTATGTACACTTCGAGGGCCAAACATCGACTCGGACCACTATCTTGTTGCAGCCAAGATACGCACCCGCCTCTGTGCAGCGAAAAATGTGCGCCCAAATATGCAAGAAAAGCTGCAATCACAACAGACAGCCAGCGCTTTCGCTACTCGACTCTCACACCTGCTCTCAGAGAGCACTCTTCAACAAACCGACATACGCGAGCAGTGGAACCACATTTCCCGCTTATTAAGTACCGCCGCCGAAGAAGTAGTCGAATTTCAGCGAGCCCGAAAGAACAACTGGTACGATGAGGAGTCTCAGGAAGCTGCAGAGAAAAAAGATGCCGCCTAAAGGGCCAACGCGCGCTATGTGGGACCGCTATAGGGATCTGAAGAGGGAAGCGAGACCTATTTGCCGCAATAAGGAGAGTGGCCGAAATACGTGAGTGCGAAGAGCTTGAAATGCTGGCCGACAGGAAGAATGCCCGAAAATTTTACCAGAGTTAGGCGACTTACGGAAGGTTTTACGACCAGAGCGAACTCTTGAAAGAACAACGGCGACCTAGTGACTGATGCCTAAAACACACCTAAATGGTAGCAGTACTGAAAGCTGTGGAGAAGACGAACCCGAGCCTCCAGTCGATGATGACGAAGTCGATGTTCCACCATCTGACTATGACGAGGTACGAATAGCAATAGCGCGCTTGGAAAGCAACAAAGCTCCTGGAGCTGGAACCTGCCTGCTGAGCTATTCAAGTACGGCGGCGAGGAGGTGATAAGGTGCATGCATCAACTCTTATGCAGAATATGGTCAGATGAACGCATGCCCGCCGACTGGAATTTAAGTTAAGGCAACCCCGTCATTCGCGCCAACTACCGCGGGATTAGCCTTCTAAGCATAGGTTACAAGGTATTATCGAGCGTATTGTGTGAAAGACTGAAACCCACCGTCAACGAACTGATTAGGTCTTATCAGTGTGGCTTTAGACCTGGCAAATCTACCATAGACCAGGTATTTCTAATACGCCAAATCCGGGAAAAGACCCGCGAGAAAAGGATCGACACTGCCTATATGCCGCGATGTCTAAATTTGGCATCCGGCTGTGTAAAATGACGTTGAGCAATACCACCAGCTACGTCAGAATTGGGAAAGACCTCTCCGAGCCACCAAACGAGATTTCAGACAAGGGGACTCCGCTTCGTGTGATTTCTTTAATCTGATGTTGGAGAAGATAATAAGAGCCGCAGAACTGAACTGCTCAGGCACAATACTTTACAAGAGCGTACAATTGCTGGCGTACGTCTGTTCTGCCTTCGCGGTTCGAATGGACAGAAACGCTCCTGCTCTGATAATATTCAACGCGGGCCGCGATGCTGGTAACAGAGGAAGAGGAAGGCCTCCTCTGTAGCTATATCTTTTAAATTTTTTTGGATCAATGATGGATGTGTGGAGGAGATTCCCTTATTTCTGAATACGTCACAATGTGATATCACAAATAATTATGAGAAAAATAACTTACTCATTCCGATATAATTAATTTGTATTTTAAAAAGGCTTTTCTTATCCAAAACTATTCAATTGTATAAAATACCAAATCGGGAGAAAATGTACTAAGCAAAAAATAAATTGCCAAATGAACCACCAGTGTCAACTGTGGAAGTGTGATCAGATGTTACGAAGGTTGCAAGTTCTTGCAAATTTTGGGTTCTCGTACTTCTGTGGATATTTTGTCTCTTTGAGAGCGAATGCTGCTAAATTCTCAGAATTTTTTGCTGCTGGATAATTTTGTCCGCTCTATACGAGTACACATCTAATGTTCAATTTACCAACTTTTCTGGTTTAATTTGTTTTGCATTTTAAATTATGGGAACGATTTATTCACATGGATTTGGCGATAGGCCTGAATGTCAAACCACCCAAGTATCCCTGCAAACCATTTTTCCGAGCATTCTGAATTAGTATAGAAATTTTAAAGAATTCGTAAAAATCTCACCCGGTTTTTTACCGAATTTTCTAAAATGAAGTAAACTGTGCACACTTCGATTCTTTTACGAAATTTCGGAGGAAAATCGGTAAAGCAATGGAAATAATGCTGCGATGTGAAGAATTTCTTGCAGATTTATCAATTTTCCGGTTATTAAATTTAATTAGATTCTGATTTTCTAAAATGTAATTAATCGGGAAATTAATCACTTTGATTAATCAGCTTGTTCGAATAATTGATTAATAGTACATCCCTAATTTAAATATAAAAAGCCCTTCACACCGCTAGAAGTTGGTGGTAAATAAGCCGTGTGTAGGCAAGTTGGCAAACCTTCGTCAAGTTGTTCCGTCTGGTTGGAGAAAATCAAATTTTTTTTTTATTTTTGAGGCAGATTGGTAAACTTGTTGCTCTGTTTGTAGACAAGTTGGCAACCTAAAACACGATTTCGATTTTTTTTAAATGCGCATTAACGTTAACATGTGTTTTTCGTTTCGTTTCGCTAGTGAAAATGCGTATAATTTGTGAAAACGGGAGCGATAGCAATAACAAATACATAAAAATGAGAAGCATTCCTAGTATAGTTTAAAAGTTTGCCGGTGATGTTGTGTTGGTCACAGTTCAAACGCTCTCACTCAAATGAAATCGGCCAACTGGTTCGTGCGTTTTTAGGGAATTTCGTTGGTTGGTCAACTGGTTGGCCGATAAATCAATGCGGTGTGTAGGGCCATTTAGCTTAGCCGTGTTTTTTGTTAAACGTATACGTAAGCAACATGCGCATTTTAGGGTTTTTAGTAAATTTTTCAGCTTATTAATTTTGCCATTAGTGAAATTTTCTTTATTAAAATTAGCTTCGAAAGTCACTTTACATGCCAGGCGTAACTGCGCCTGCGATCACTTTCAGAAATCCTTGAATTTGGCAGTCTTTTGAAAACTACTTGCACTTGCCACGTCTAACTGCCACTTAACAGCTACTTACCGCTGGAAATTTGGATTTTTGCTTAAAATTCTGTCAAACCAACGTGTGTCCATACCCCAGTCAAATGATTATGCTTACACGGCAGAGAAAAGTACGCGTGCCCACGACAGTCGGGTCTACGTAACTGGAACGACCCAGATTTATATCTGGCCAAGGACTGTAACTTCAGCAACACTCCCCAAAAATTATTTGAGGAAAAATTGCTTTATATTGTTTGAGAAGCTCTCCTACCATAAAATAAATAATAAATAAATGGGTTTGAAAACAACTTTTTATTTAAAGTGGCGTTTTTATTTTTTCTCTTTGACGTCAGGGTTTATTTTAAAGGAGTTTGTAACTTCAAAAATATGATTAATTACCAAGGTACATTAAACAGGTAGTATCAGTAGAGCAGCTGATTTGATTTATTTTCAAATTATTTGGTCTCGAAAATGTCAAATATTTTTAATTTTTTCTCACAAAAATTCTGAATTGTTAAAATCCATTTGCATGTGAAACCTTTTTCCATACAAAACAAGCGATTGAATAGCAGCTTTTGGAACGTTCGCCCAACTCAGCAGCACGACCGCTGATTACTGGGCCTTGCAAAGGATGGATCAATGCTTCGAGAAGCAAACAAATTTACTAGGAAGGAAGGTTGCATCGATTTTTATTTTTTCCAATTTAAATTTTTTATTTTTTATAATTTTTTGTATTTCACATGGCACGCTTTGATTTAGAAGAAAAAATTCAGAACAGTTTTTGACACTTTCGATACCAGAAACAACAACAAAATACACGCAAATGTTGTTTTTGCTCTACTGATACTACCTGTTTAATGTGCCATGATTAATTACAAAAATTATTTAAAAAATTCCATGCAATACATTTAGAATAAAAATATGGGTACCAAATGCAATTCCTCTTGTGAAAAACTAAAATTTTGAAAGGACATTTTAAATACTTACCAGTCCTTCTGCACCAAAAACTTGAATCTGTTTAAATTCTACGGGATTTGTTCTTTAATTTGATACCCATGCTTCTTCTCTAAGCTCATTTCTCTNAAGGACATTTTAAATACTTACCAGTCCTTCTGCACCAAAAACTTGAATCTATTTAAATTCTACGGGATTTGTTCTTTAATTTGATACCCATGCTTCTTCTCTAAGCTCATTTCTCAGAATTTTTATACATCACTTTTGAATTACTGACGTCAGAGTGAAAAACTAAAAACGCAATTTTACTATATTTGGCCCCTGGTTTCGCGAATATATTGGTATTTGTGTTTAAATTTACTATCGCACGGTGTTATATGTTATATGTGTATAATGGGCTAGACATTTATAAAATAATATTAATTATTAAATAAAGAAAAAAGCAATATAGCCAATACTGGTCAAGAAAAGGAGTTTCTATTATTGCCGTCAGTGCAAATTACAAATCCCAAAAATCCCGGGATTATTTGGCAAGAATCCCGGGATTTTTGAGACCTTAAAAAGGTCGGAATCCCGGGATTAACATTCCTAATCTACACTGAAAAAAAAATTCTTTTTTACTTTCCTCCAGTCTTAAATAAGCTTATTTTTATACAGTTAACGCATACGTTTCGGTTGTGGACATTTTTTGAGCAGAAGCAACGGTATTTTATAGCCACTTGAAACTTGCATTTTATTGCACTAAAACTGAATTTGCTATAAAGCGGCATACTATACATATTTTTTTTATTCTGTCGTTTGCGTTGTTTACGACTCGAAAACCAGATAAGGGCTTAAAGTGATGAAAAAATTTGTTGAGCATATAATTTTTTCATTCAGGTATTTGTTAGCAACTTTGTTGAAAATAATAAAAAATAATTAATTCAAGTTTTTTTTTATTGTTCAGTTTAAATTGCTGCATTGCCACATCTGTGTGGCCAGTTAGCAACAATTTTCTCACCACTTTCGCTACTTAACGACATTCATAAAAAACGTCGGCTTGAGCGATATACCATTTTTTTCTTTTTCGTCGTCTCGCCTACTTTTTGCAAAAACCAATGAATAGCGAGCTTTTTTTGTTTTAATCTCATATTACTCTACGATCCTGAGTCATGAAAAAATTAAAAAAAAAAATAATAATCTTATAATAAACTTATAAAAATTTATAAAGAAAACTGAGTTAATGAACGACGATCAAAATAAAAGCAGAAAGAGGTGCTGTTAATAAGGAAAAAAGAATTTAAAAATATAAAATGTTGTACCCCTTAGAGCTTAATAGATGTAAGGTTTCTTGCTCAAATATATGTAGGTAAAATTATAAAACACTACTACTCAACAGAATTGGTGTTTGAAATTTTCAAGAGTTATTGAAGGAATAACAAATATTTTCTTTGTAAGTATAAAAAAACTAAACAGCCGTGAGGAATTGGAGAAAGCCACCACAAAAACAACTCAAAGAGTATAAAATTTGCACAAAAGCTACACTCAAGCAAAGCAACGCTCTAACAGCTGAGCGGCGTACAAGAATTACATAATTTTCGAACTTACTTGTGAACGTTTATTGGTGTTATAGTTGCGCGAATTTTGAAATATCAAACGTACATCCTTTGCAAAATCCAGCGGGTCTTCATAATTGCCACCAAGTAAATCCTCCTTAACTGTACGCAAATCCATTGGTGATGAAATAATTTCAAGATAGTCGGGGAATTCCAGTGTATCGACTGGTTCACGAAAGGGCAAAGAATCGTTGCGTTGCCACATTAAGTCCAATAGTTGGCGACATTCGGTACGCCAGTCACCATCTGAACGAATGCGACTTGATCTGTTTGATTGACAAGGAATTCGATATAAGTAGGTATGTATATTTACAGCGAATTAAACAAGTGAGCGCGTGTTAATTTTTTTTTCCTTAATATTCACACGTTTTTCAAGTTAAATTTTCTTAAAAATTCCGAACTTTTTAATCTGGATCTTTAACACATTTTTGTGTGTGCAGTTATAGCCCACAGAATTTTAGTCTAATGACCCAGAAGATAATTTAGGTAGGACTTCTTAAGTGAAGCCATTCTAAGAGGCGTACCTAAAAAGGGCTGAAAGAAGTGCTTCCTTGCATGCCTTCTAGAAGGGCTTATACATTTAATTTATATGGTTTTGGTTGAAGATTAGACAATCAGAGAGCTCGTATTGCTGTATGTCGTAAACTTTAAAAGTTTAAATAAATGGTTAGAGGACTTGAAACCACCACCAACTATTTTTCAACACTGAAAATTCATAGCATGACTTTTATGGTTACGCCAGTATACAACACCTTGTGAACTCCCTAAATATTTTTATAGAAAAATTTAAAAAAAAATTTAGTTTAACATTGTGAATGTTAAAAAAAAAACCAACTAATGTTCACTTGTCGAGTCACTGTATGTGAAATGTGCCACAGAGTTTTAAACCTTTTTTTTTTTTTATTTCTGCTCTCGACTTTTTATACAAACCTTCGAGTCGCTGACATCTTTTGGCGCGCCGCAGCTGATGTAGATGGCCCGGTACTCGTCGAGGGCACCACATCCGATTCATTATCGTTCTCTGTTTCCGATGAATGATAAACATCAACCAATTGATGATAAACAGCCGCAACATCAATATCATTGTGCTCCCTATATAACCAAAATCAAGACAAAGAAGTAAGGAGGTAAATAAAACAGTTTGAATTTTTGTTACGCGCTTCCTTTTCGGTTTGACACTCACCTAATTACGCGCAAACAGAGATCGGTTATAATTCGCGCATGTTTTACAATATTCGTATGAGAACGATTGTACTTCTCTGCGTTGGTCGCCAAGTAACGTACATCGAATTGTGCTGAGGTTATGCGTCGATAAAAATGATTTTCAAAACGTGACTTTATTGTTGTCAAATCGATTGGGTACTCAATTAGATAGGCGTAGTCGGGATAAACATTCAAATCAACTGGAGCCAAAAAGTGTTCGGCAATGGAGAGACGCATGACCTGTAAAAAAAAAAAAATAGATATTTCCAGATAAATTTGCAATTTTGTTTAAAAGTCTTACAATCGCATCACTTATAACGCGAAGGAATTTCACACACAAAAACATGTGTGTGAACTTCTTCAAACACTTTCCTCACCTGTTCTAAACCGTTTATAATGCGCCTACAGGAACCGTCACGATCTCCCCGATGCCACTCTTCTGATTTTGGTTGATACAAAGTAGCTCGTATCTCCTCTTGCAGTACAGGTACTGCTCCACCCACTTCGTCGGGTAGACGATTTTCGTCAATCGGTTCCATATCCCAAGGGCTCATATATTCATACTCGCCATTATCCCAACGCACACGGAAACACATGAAATACGAATCAGGAAAGTCAGCAGAAAGTGCATAACGTGATTCAATTTGTCCCATCCACCAGCCATCACCAATCATGCAGCGAAAACGATCGCCAACACTCCAGTTACGCTGTACAGCCAAATCGAAAGTTTGACGCAAGACCAGAAAGTCAAGCACATCTGGCATATCATGGTACTTAATTTTAAAAGACGTGCCAGTCATATTGCCGTCATCGTCAATCATTGCTAACTTGAGGCAGCATAGACGCGGCGGACGTATTTCATACTTAATGCCGATCACGCGCACAAATTCACGATCGCGTAATGTTCGAAAGTTCCATGGCTCCGAGCTGTGTGTTAATTTGTATACCTTTTTAACCCGCACAGCTTCCAAATATCGATGGTGTCCTTGACGAAAATATACTACCTCGTCACCCATTTGTGGATAGTAAGGTGCCTTACGCGGTATCACCTCCGACAGCCATTCGGCAGGCCGATATACCTCTGGTATCTCACCATTGGGCGCTGGTGGCGGTATAACGATGCGTTTATTTCGCTTGGTTGCTTTGGCTGCTGCACCCGCAGATGTGGTGGCATGTTCTGTAGTCTCGTCACTGCTATCATCGCTAAATGTGCGACGTCTTGACAGCGGTTTGCGTTTGGAGCGTTTCGGTGGCTCCAAGTTCGGGCCTGGCGTATCAGCCACCCAATCCGAATAATCAGAACTTTCGGTATCCGAATCATCTGACGACTCCTCCAAGTTTTCTTCAACATTGGAGTAGCTGGTATCGCCCGACGATGAGTTACTCTCTTCATCCTCCTCGTCTTCTTCGGGAGGCGGTGGCGCATCTAGCTCTTCCTGATCGCGTACAGCACGCGTGCGATATGCTGGCTGTGATTGACTGCCTTGGCCCTGACGACGACGTGCTCGTACCGCACCAGCGCCGTTGTTGGCACGCGTATTACGTTGACGACCATTGCTCGATTGTGCGCTTGCCACATTTCCTGTGGTAATCATAATAGGACGCCGCCGCATCTCACGTTTATACTCCTGCATCTCATACTGACCAGCCGCATACACAGCTTGTTTGATATTTTGTAATTGTTGGTACTTCATGGGACGTACATAAATACGGCGAAAGTATTTAATCTGCGGTGGTTGTGCTGGCTGCTCGGTAATTGGCACCAACTGCTGTTCATCAGTTGTTCGCGAACGGCTAGTACCCTGACGGTTTGAAATATTTTGTTCAAATTGTCGGCCAGGTATATCATCAAAGCTGTAACGCGAAGATGCCGCTCCTCCGGGTGCTGAACGGCTGCTTGAAGGACGATTATTAGAATCGGGAGCCTGGTCCTGTCCTTGACGGCTAGCAAGTGCCTCTATAAGACGATCCAGTTGCGAATGATTACCTGCTGCATTGTTTCCAACAGGAATTGCTGGTGATGCTGGTGCCGCACCTTGACGATTTGCCAACACGGCAATCAGCCGATCTATATGGGAAAAGTTTCCACCTGCGCCATTTATGTTGGGTACAATAACCGTACCATCATCACCGACTGTTAAAATTTGTCTCAGTTGTTCCCGTGTACAACTTTCACGACCTGGGACAAAACGTTGATACTGTACGGGATAAGGATTGCCCTCTGAATTGACGAGAAACGGTGGCGGCATCAGATGTGGCATAACTTGTGTTTGTTCGTCAACAACATATTGGGATGCATCGCGCATCAGGGGCCGATAGTCCGTGTGGAAAAATAGTTCATTGGGAAGCTGTATTTAAAAATAGGAAAGTATAGTTAAATAAAAGCTAAACATACAGATTTAAATGTTTACCATTTTGTATTTATCCGGACCGATGCCAAGTCCATATATAAGTAAATGACCATGTGAATCTGTAGCGGCAACCATTGTGCCATCTGGCGACCATTTGGCATCGAAAACACCACCATGGCCTTGCCCGTCGATATCGTTTACAAACTCTGCCACTGAAACGCCATTTTCAATATCCCACAGAAATACTTGTCCATCGTGGCCAGCGGAGAGTAGCACATGTTCGTCCTTCGGATTCGATTCGAGTACATAGAGTTCATCCTTATGACCGCGCAATACGCGATGCAGTTTACCAGTTTTTGAATGCCAAATCTTAATCTAAAAAGTTTTATGAAAGGGTTTAAGTTGTTATTTTTAAATAAATCTCTAAAAGGATACTTACTGTAAAATCATTGACGGCCGTAATAACATATTTGTCCGAGCAATCCCAAGCGACCATAGTAACTTTCAATTTTTTACCCTCTTCTAGCAGCGGACAACTGCAATTTTATTATATAAGTCAAGAGATTTGGTAATTAAAATTAAATCAAGAAATTTTAAGTTTATTTTAAAGTGAAAATTGAAAAAAATCTTTCTTCTCTCACGAGTATACACTTTATAACTCACCCTGGTAGACGTTCTGTCATACACAACTTAATGTTTTTCCATTGTTGTGATTCGAAATTCCAAATATGTGCCGTCCCATCTTTGCTGCCCGATATGAAACGTAAGCCTCTATGCGACCATTGCACTGAGTCTACTGCATCTGTATATGCCTCAGCTTCGAGTATACGTTTGGGTCCATCTTCTGACATAATGTAAACACGTACATGATGGTCAGCTGAACCAGCGGCAAGAAACATGCCCCCCGGCGAAAAAGTCGTACACATCATTTGAGCCTGACCCGGGCGCAACTTTTCGTGATATTGTATTGGCTTGGGTGCGAACGTGATTTTTTGGCCACGTGGCGTCGAATACGACCAAAATGCAATTGATCCATCAGTGCTGGTAGTCACCAAGTACTTAAGATCACTGCGTGGTGAGGGACAGAAATTCACTGATGTTATCATGCCGGTATGACCGGAAAGCACAGCTATGGGCGAGGTGGTCTGCATGTCCCAAACACGCAGAATACGATCTAAAGAGCCAGCAGCTAACATCGTGTTGTCAAGATTGATTGCAATATCCGTAATTTCTGCTGACGCGCCACGAAGAGTAGCCAACAATCTGCCATCCAATGCTGACCATATTTTTATGAGCAGATCATCCGCTCCCTAACATAATATTGACACACATTTTTTTTATTTGTCTATATGGAAAACTTTGATAACCTACCGTTATAATATAACGTCCAGTACGATCAAATAGCACACAATAAACAGACGATAAATGGCCCACTGTCCGTTTCAGTAGCTTGGTTTTGCTATAAAGACTAATGGGTACCAATAATTTCCGACGCACTGGGCCACCATATTCGCGCCCAATTAAAACTTTTTCTGCAGTAAAAACAAAAAAGATAATGATTAGTCATTGAAATGCTTTTAATTTTGCAGCAAACTTACGGAAATTGTGAATTGGTTTTGTTACTGAAGAATCTGGAAGTGATACGCCATTTAAACGTGTGCAATAGTCGAGCAAGGAACGCGACCGATAAATACTTTCTTCGGTGCGCAGCAAACTCTGACGACCGGTGCCAAGTAAAGAGACTATGCCCAATACTGCCGGTGGCAGTTCTTTGTCTAGTATTGGTCCTATGCGACAACATATTTCTAATAGATGATTGGATCCAATATGTGCATATTTTTGTTCCTAAAATAGCATAACACGGGATTTAAAGTTTTAGTCACAAAGTGTACATTTGAGGGAGACAAATTGATTAGTAAATTGCATACGGAAATCCAAGTAAAACAAACAGCTGTCATATGCTTAAAAATACACGCGAAAATGGCATAAGGGAGTGAACAAAAAAAGACATGAAACAAAAAATTCACCACGGCAAGTAAACGTTTGTTGTCCCCCTTTTGCTCAAAGCCAGTGTGGTGAAAAAGTGCGCAATGCTCTCTTTTTCTCTTACTACAGTTTCACACGGTGAATAAGAAAGACAACAACATAGCACAAATGCATAAGCTGCAGTCAAAATGTCTGCCAACATCGTACGCCAATAACGAATGCTGATTATGCGATACACATATGTACATATGTATGTACGACATTGTATTTTTTCCGATAGCAAATTATTATTAACTAATTTTATTCAAATTACACACAATATTTTTTAAATTTTATGAGAAGAAACAAATTTTTCCGTCATTAGAAATGTGTGTTTAGTAAAAAAAAAATGCATTTTTTCTGGTAATTAACGCTTTTACTTTTTTAATTGCTGTTAATTGTGCAAAATAACAGTCTTAAAAAACGAATTTAATAAATTTAAATTGCACTAATTAAGGAAAAGGGTTGGTTGCATTTTAGTTAATCAATAACTTGCATCAACCCTCGCTGCCGTGGAAAGCAACATGGCGGCGCCTCGTGCGGCGAGTTAGAACAAAGGTATTCTTATAAAAATTTATAATAAATTACTTGATTACAGTGTTAAGCAAACACTATGCAACAAATTTTAAATGTGATTAGTAATATTAAGCAGAGGAAGTCAATTTCTGGAAAACAAGTGTGGTTTTCATGCACTACAGTGGCACAGTGGGACGAGACGGTAGTAAAAACTTAACTCTTTTTTTATGTTTTAAAATAATGTTTGAAAATGTAATAAAAAAAAACATGTTAAAACATTCACAAAAGAACAACAATTAACGTATTTCTTCGAGAAATTAATTTTATTTAATTTATTTTTTTTTTAAATTCATCCGAGGCCCACTGTGCCCCTTTGAAATGCTTAGTTTTTATGTAAATTCAAGAAAATACACTCACCAATTCCGCGAAGGTTTGCTCATGTTCATAGCCCAGCCAATCAGTGCGCCGTGGCAAAACCTAAAACAAAAAAGTTAAATAAATATAATTTTTTAGTTAGCTAATTTTATTTATAAACTTCGAAACATAGAAGCAAACCCGTAGTTTCTCAAAAAATTCAATTTAAAACAGGTCTAATCTCTTCTTTCCCTAACTTCCTTTTTCGGATTTTTTTTGTATGTCGCTTTTCATTGCACCCCAAACAAGGTGGCAAATAAGAAATGCCAAAGAATAGGTCAAAACAAAATGCGTAAACAATAATATTTGTCGCTATTTACAATGGTACAATTATTTCCTACTCCCCCGCGAGCTCATAATCATTTTCTTTGTAAGCTTCAAGTAAAACTCGAAGTTATGAAACTACCACCCTAATGCTGAGCTCCTAGGAAGTCGTTTTCCACCACATATCTATTCCTGTGGAAGTTCTCCTCCGAAACATTGTACATGGCTCGATATCCACAACAATCAAGACGGTTGAAGGAACCCACTAGGTCAAAGTAGCGCAAACCGCCGGTGCGGCAATATACACTTCTTCGACAGCATTTTACAATTTCTGACTTTAGTATAGTTTTAGACATTGGAAAAGGTGGACGCATCTCACGGAATAAACAGCAATGACGCTTCCAGCTGCAACATGTGCGTAGTGAGAAAACATTGAAATACGTAAGTTCGCTGACAAACTATTATTTGATTATGCTGACTGATCTGATGAACTTTTTGCACCCAATTTATTATTAGGAATATATTTATACATACCCTTTTTTGTTCCAATTCACGCACAAGTACCTGCAGAATATTATAAATTATGTTTAAGCTTATGTTTATAAATTTTTGGCAATATTTTGAGTAGAATTTGTTTACAACTGCAGCAGGAACACTCACCTCAGCCGTCTCCCGCAGCGGACCCGAAGCCAGAAACTTCGATATGAGAAAATATAACTCTGCAATTATAAAATAAGTGAATTTTAGTTTTAACTGCTTTACATTATTTTTAAAGATATAAATTTGAAACAATATAATTAATTTCACTTTTCCATAACGGCTGACCGTCGCTTCCTTGTTCCACTGTTCTTCAACACCGTCGGTCATTTTGTGATCTGCCATTTTTCCACTTAATTTTCACACAACTTACCAGGCGTTAAAATTCTCTCCGCCACCAATTGATTATTACTTTCCATTTTCCAACATTTACTCAATTAAATTCGACATTGATTCACTTTTATAAGGCTGCTTATTTTTTACTTAAATTGAAAATATTTCCTCAATCAATTGCTTTCGAGCGAATGAAAATTTTCTTCTTCTGCTGCTACAATCTTCGTCGCCTCATATTCTTGTCGTCTATTTATTCACGGTGATTCGTGCCTCGTTCGTTTCCCTGGTCGAGTGGTGAGTTTGTTGGAATGCTTGTCGGCGATTTTTCAATAAGCGGGAAAGAGATGGATACTGAATGAAAGTTCTAAAAAAAGATGCTCATGAAATTATTTTTTCTAAAATTAAAATATAGCGATTTTGCAACGAATAAATTTATAAATCTGTGTAACTTTAAGCTGTTAATTAATTTCCTAAATGATCCGAAAACACCGACAATGACTGCGTTCACGTTTCAATGGAGAAAAGTTTGTGTTATTAGAATTATTTATCAAATTGCATCTTAACATATTTCTTAAATAATAAGGAAATATGTATGTAAAAACACGTATTATTATTGGAAAAAATATAAAAATTTAAAAATTTATTTCTTAATACTCGAAGTAACATATCTGATTAAAAAATATATAAATTCACCACTCTAGAAAATTATAAACGGGACGATGACATTTCTTCGTCATCCATCATCAGCACCTCAGCTGGTGTCACAAGATTTATCAGTAACTTTTCTTGTGGGGACTTGGTGGAATATGAATTTTATTTAAATTGCAATTTTTACACACAATAGTTATACTGGAACTATGTCTTGGGTATCAGACTACCAATACAAGTGGTATGAGACACTGGCCATGAATATAGTGCGTGCCGGTGGCAATATTCCACGACATGTCGCTTTTGTTATGGATGGCAATCGGCGCTATGCAAAATCGCAATGTCTGCCCAAGATCGACGGACATTCGCATGGTTTTGAAAAGTTGGCTAATTGCCTGCGTTGGTGCTTGGATATGGGTATAAAGGAGGTGACAACATTTGCTTTCAGCATAGAAAATTACAAACGATCCGAGGAGGAGGTGAATGGTTTGTTGGATTTGGCACGTGAAAAATTCCAGAAAATATTATTGGAGGAGCAAAACTTGAATGAACATGGAGTATGTATCCGAGTAATTGGCAATATAGGATTACTACCGAAAGATTTGCAAATATTAATTTCCAAAGCAATGATTCTAACAGAACGCAATGATAAACTTTTCCTAAACATTGCTTTCTCATATACTTCACGCGATGAAATAACTCAGGCGGTGGAAACAATTCTCAAACATGGCGGAGATTTGGAACCGGAAGACATTAGTGAACGTCTGATTGAAGAATGTTTATATACGAGAAACTCCTCACCTCCAGACTTGCTTTTCCGAACATCGGGCGAAACACGTATTAGTGACTTTCTGATGTGGCAGGTACGTTGATTCAACTTTTAAATACATACGTAACTAAATTTTGATTATTCCTAATAGATTTCCACGGCAGTTTTGTACTTTACAAACATTCTATGGCCACAGATAACTCTTTGGAACTTCCTGTGCGGCATATTCGCATATCAACGCGCAAGCTTACGCTTAGAGCCTTTAAAGCGGCATAAACGGCTACAACATGCTGTACAGGCAAAGGAATGTAATTACTACTCTGAACGGGTTTTGAGCTACTTGCAAAAACTAGATAGTTTTAGAAAAAATGTTTTGTATAGTTTATCAACAAGTAACTAAACCACATCGAGAATCTATGTATTTAGCTAAGGTCAAAGTACAACTAAAATATAAAATCTTACATTGAAATACGTGTCCTTAACTTTCTATAACAGATTGGACAGGCTTTATTAACAGGCCTATTTTGCACGTTACCGTTGATTTTGAACCGGAAAATTTCGTTACCAAAAGATTTTACCACTTTTTGTCGCCGTGATTCTAGGAACATTAGTAACGCAGTTAAAATATTCAGCTATGAGGATTTCGGGAAAATCTTGTATTGCACTTTTCACGGTACAGCTTGTGAAATGGTAACACAATTTACCGGTTACAAAAGTGGCGGGAACTTTATTTGCAGTTTCAAAATGTTTGTTACCAACGCAGAATTACAGGCCTATTCTGCACATTTAGTTCTTGTCACCGCGAATCTAGGTACGTTGGTAATGCATTTAAAAAATTCAGCTATGAAAAATTGTTGAAATTTGGCATTGCATATTTCACGGGGCAGTACATTGTTACCAGCTTATGAGATGGTAAAAAAATGTACCGGTTACAAGAGTACACATAATTCGAAAAATGTTTAAAATTTGGGTGGAACTTTATTTACCGGTAAAAAAACTTTTATTACCAGCGCAGAATAGACCTATAAGCCTATCACAGGTCTATTCTGCACGTTACCTATGGTTTTGTAAACGGAAAATTGTATTACCAAAAAATGCTACCATTTCCGCGATTGTTAAGTACCTTAAAATGGGATAAAATATTTGAATAAATTCAGTTTAGAGTCAAAGCTACTAAACCAATTTAACGACAAAAATATTGAACTGCATATTTATGTAATTTGTTTGGGAACCCAAGATTCGCTGAAGATTGAAAAATCTTCGTTTCATGTACATATTTACGTTTTTGTTTCCTTTTTTGAGTGAGTGCAGGATTAAAGTTCTACGAAGGGGAATAAACAAAACAGCATACCTGCCATAAGAGAGAGATAAATAACGTTTGGTAAGCATTAAGTATCGTTTTCTCCTTTTCTCGTGTAATTAAATGCATTGAATAGATGCAATTGTGCCGTTTCCGTTTTTAATTGCCCTGAACGAGCGAATACACAGTAGAGCAAAGCACAAAGTACAAACGAAAAATTGGCGATTGTCGACTGTAGCGAGTAAGCATTTTCAGAGAATTACCATTCCGTAGTAAGTTCATCGAGTACCTCGTGTAATTAAAATGATTTTTATTTGTGATTTATATAAAAGATATAATCATAAATAATACATATTAATGTTCTATGACATTTTTCGAACATAGTGTAGTGGCTTTTAACAAATATGGCGATGTCCTGCCGAAATAACAAGTGTTTAATTTTGTGACTGGGTGGTTGCGTGTCGTACGATTACAGGCCAGACATTTGCAATTAGAAAACAATAAAACTAAATGCACATGAAAAATATGTGCGATAGAAGTGCAAATCAATTTGCTTCCGTACAAATATAAAATAAGTCAAGAAATTGAACCTAAAACATATTGTGCGACGAAAAAAAACTTTGTATGCAAAAGACTGCAGTTGCAAAAAGTAGCGCTTACAAAAGCGAAACGCCATTAGTGCCGCCTTTCTAGAGTTGCCAACAAACAAAATAAAAGTGTTAAATTCCAGTTGCAGCTAAACTGACTGAAAGAGGTATCATATATTAAAAATAAATTGAATTACGAATTTTTAAATAAAAATTAAGAATTGTAAATTGGCATTATTGAATAATGGGTCAAGTTTTCGCTTTTGCTCGTTCGTCGAAAAAATCACTTTCGCTGACATTTTGCCAAATTTTGGCAATACTACTTGTCTGCCATGCCCTAGCGAGTTACGAGTGAGAGTTCATGCTACTCGGTAGGTACGTGCGTTGGATCGACCACTCGGTGTTTCGCGCGCTGCCTTTGTGTGTGTGTATGCATGAGGGCTCGACGAATGCGTACAAACTTCATGGCATCAGTGACAGAAGAGCAACGAGTAGATGGAAAAGCATGGAAGAAAGGAGAAAAAAGTGTACGGATTTTTTGACAATTGAAAGAATTACACATAATTTTCGCAAAAAAGGATTGTTAAATTATTTAAATGCAACTCAAAATTAAGTGAAAGTTAAAGAACATGTGAATAATATTGCATTTAATGTAAAGTAATTTTAAAGATTTCTAGTTTGGTTGAAAATGGTATTTTTTAATTGCTTTTGTTTATCTCTTTTTTTTTCTGGATTCATGATTGTGGTCGGGCTCGGTCGTTTGCTTGTTGGTCGGTCGGGTCGGTTACGTTTTGGTTTCGTCGGTTTTGTACGTTGGGGTTTTGTTTTTAGCGGTGTGTTTGGTGGTCTGACAGCGTTGCATTAAATTAGGGAGTGCGTAAAATCTTAAATCGTACTTTGTAATTAATTTAAATAAGTATACATATGTACATATATGATTTGAAATAGGTTATGGGGATATGGAATTTGATTGAAATGGCTTCCCAATATTGTGAATTATTTTGAGGCGGGCACTAAAAATGGAAGGGGCGTGTAATTTCCCAATTATCGCACTTTAAAGTGAAAAACCAGATTCAATGACCCATTCCTTTTTTCGTCTGGCCCCTACAAGCCTCAAGGGAGTATTATGAAAACGGGTAAAATTGGTACATAGTACTGCAGTAAGAGGAAAGAGAATTCTGTTGATTGAGGGTCCTGATCTTCAGCGTGTTCGTGGGCCGGATGCAACTGGTCGAAATTTGCGGTATTTTAGCTATTTTGGAGGGCTTGGTAGACGAGCCCGGTGGTACGAAAAAAAGAGGCAGGTCATTGAATTCTTTGGTCTTTACCTCCCCCCTTGATTTATTGTTCCAGCCACAATATTTGGGCCTTTTCTGTTTTGTTTATTTCATGAGCTCGTGAACTTATCTGGACATCTCTAATACATTGTGCTTTTATTTAAAACAAAATTGCATAAAACGTAGTGCAGTGTCATATTAATTTTTCGACCGTATTAGCCTGATTCGTGTTAGAACCCTACATTTGCACTGAATATAGTATTTCTTTCTTATTTTGAAGGGTTTCGTAGAAGTGCGGATGTCAAGTTAGGGAGAGGAGTGTTTCATTTTATTTTAAAGTTTCACATTTTATAGCAGTCGCCATCTATTGATTAGTCCTACTCGAAATCATAATTAAACATTTTTGTTAAATATTTTTGAAAAAATATGTAGTTTCTACTAACATTTTGCTTCGTACTTAGGGCTCGCAAGTCGAAATCCTACATGCCTATGCAACCCTGTTGCGGTGTTTAAGCATTTTTTTTTTTTGTTCGGTTGCTTGGTGTATGTGCGGTTACGTTTCCGACTGCGGTTGATGGTTGCGTGCGGGTGTATGTGTGTTTGCTTGTGGTGGCGCTACCACTCGTTACCTACCGACAATCTTCTCGCTACTCGTCAGTTGCCACCACACGCATAACACCGTCGCGGGCGCCTTGACTGGCTGTGGCTGCGCTGTGTAGTGGTTACGTGTGTGTAGCTTTGTGTGCACAATTCTACGTATCGAAAAGACATGTAAAAGAAAATACGGAAAAAACCAACGAGCGAGCGAGCAAAAGTAGAAAAAGTTGTGCAAAATAATAAAAATTCAATAAAATATAAAAATGTCTATAAAAATTAATAAAAACTATCGCAAACGGTGCATAAGATTGTAATGCAACAAAATTATATAAATTTTTGTACATATTTGTAGCTAAATATAGTGGAAAAGACTTCTAAAAAGTGAGCAAATCGTTTTTTTTCGAGTAAGGAAGCGCAAGTAGTCTATAGTGCAAGAAAGTGTGCAAGACACGACGAGCAAAAGTCGGGAGGCGCAGGCAGCCATAGGGCTAGAAAGCACAAAGCAGCCAATTAAGTCCAACCTGCAGGAAGATTTAAATGCAAAAGCTACTACGATTGTGGGGGCGATTACATCTGTTTTCGCAGGAGATCTGGATGGCAGTAGCGAAATAAACGACAGCAGTAAAAATTGGTTGAATTTTGTGCGAAGTGAACCACACACTTCCACAATACAATTTGTACGGCAAGCGAATTGTGCCAACATAGACAATAACGTTGAAAATAATATATAAACCAAGTGGGACGTGTAAAAGCCAAGCATTGAGTGGTCTTTTCGGCTGAATAACCAAGGAGCTGTTCCAAACATTACCAGCCTGTATTTGAACACGAAATCATAAGAAGTATAACAGCAAACCGACAACTCTGCAATAGGATCGACTTTTGACCATAGACGCGGCAGCAGTAGCAGCAACCAGAGCAGTTGTGTTTAGAGCACAAAATGTATCCTGCACCGGTGCGTCATCCCTCTGCGGGGGTAAGTGTACACAAATATATTGCTGCACAATTTATTCTGTTTTATTTACTTCGTATCCATCTAATGCTTTCCAAATATTTTCTTTTTCATGCACAAAAAACAATACACGCAATGGTAAATAAAACTATATACGACGTAATCGTGAATTATCAATGGAAATTCAAAAAACAAATAGGGGCCACCACCTCAAGGCCCATTGAAGTTTACAATCGTTGACACACTTGAACGTATCAAGGAGGAATTCAACTTTTTGCAAGCACAATATCATACGTAAGTATTGCAATATGTTTTGCAGATATATTTGTAAGCAGCATTGAAAGCAGATTAACTTTAAATTAAAATGATAGCGTTTCTAATAGATGTAAGATCGCCCCATTGATATATTCTATACGTTTTACAAATCAGACTTCTCAAGCACGCTTTCTACCGTGTTACTGCTAATAAGCCTTTTTCACTTGCCAATATTTACTTGAAAATTATTTCCCTGATGTTTGCGTTTAGTTTTTTGCGTGACGTACTACCCTACAAGACATTGCTGAGCACTTTAGGCAAAAATTCTCACACATTTACACTTTTGTTTTTGTAGTACGGCATAAATGAGTAGTTTGACTATTAGTACTGAGGAATTTCTGATGACAACATTGAGGGGAAAGTACTCAATTTTTTCCCATGGCCTGAGCGAAAATGAGGACTTTGATAAGCACTTTTGTGATTAGGGATAATGATAATATGAGTACTCATATGATACTCAGCTGTCTTGTAGGGTAGGTATGTACATATGTATGTATATGTACGCATGTATGCATGTACATTTAATAGTTTTTACTGAGCTTACAGAGAAATTATTGTGGTTATTTACCACCCAAACGAATACAACACGCCCACGAGAAACAACGTAAACTTAACCACTTATCAATTTAGTTTGCTTGTATGTACACGTGTCTAAAATATGTCTGTTGTACTAAAATATGTTGATATTGTTCCTTTGATAGCTGGTTTTATACATATATTGTATTTAAATACATGTATTTGCTTACTTTGTTGTTTACTGCTGACGAAGAAAGGATTTTAGTATTAGTGCATCAATAAAATAATTTAAAAATACGCTGCGTGTTATACCTAGTCACAACAAACATTTCGGTTGAACGATTAGAAATCGGTAGAAGGCTAGAAGACGATTAGAGAAACTGTTGAGTATTCTCTACAAAAAGGGAACTTAGTTCTCAATATCGACAAAAAGAAATGTTCGTTATCTAATCGTAGTCCAACGCTGAATTCTAATTGGTTTCTAATATCTAGTGTGTGTGTGTAAAGGCTTGTTTGTTTATAAAAGTTTTATTCTTGGTAAATTGTGATCCCTGTTGGCCCTGTTCTCCGTTTACAAATTGACGCAAATAGAAAGCGCGCCAAAGGACATTACTTCAAAACGTTCCCACGACAGTCGGGTCTACGTAACCGGAACGACCCAGATTTATATTTGACCAAGGACTGTCACTCCAACAACACTCCCCAAAAACTCTTTGGGGAACTTGTATGCTGCTACAACAACAACAACAACATTACTTAAAAAAACACTTAAAGCATTAGACGATTTTAATGCTGCTACAACAGCAAGAACTTTATAAGTCATGATGTCTACACATACTGCCTCTTCAGCACCGGTCCCCCAATATTATGTTGCAACAAAATACATTTTTATCGACTACTACTGAGGAGTGCGTCAACAGAATTTGGAAAAATGCTTAAATGTTTAACTTTAAGTGCTTTAGACTAAGGTCGGTTTACACAGTTTTAACTATAAAGAGTAACTTGTTCATTTCTATACCTGACGCTACATATTTGCATGTACATAATATGTATGTACATATGTATGTAAAAACCTATGTATTTAAAAAAAAAACATTGACAATGACTACGCATGCTTCTAAATATTGGCCTAAATCTTATCTCAAAAGTTTTGTTTTATTACTTGTACGTTTCTAATGGATTATAATCTACACTTGGCTAATACTTTTAGATTAACGCTATCACTTCGATAAAATTTATTCAAATTCCCGATTCTACTTGCGCAGTATTTTTTTTATTTTTATTTTTTGATAACGCTAGACATTATACTTACATAGTTTTTATCCTTTTATTAAAGTACGATGACAGCCAAAACATTCACGAAATATTGTATATACATATATACATGCATGTATGCAAATATACTGTTTGTATGAATGCACATACATTTGTACGTATTTCTATTAGGGTTACGACTTTTAATTAAAAAAAAAAAAACAATCAACGGACTCTTGAATAAAACTCCAGGTAAACACCATTATTTTGTGGAAATATTGAAATCACCGACCGGCCAATGAAATTTTTTGCTTTATTTTTTAAGCTGTCATTGAAACAAGTTTAAGTTACGAAATTAGTTTTGGGCCTGGTTCCCGAAAATCTGCAATAACAACAACTGCGGGAAAGAAAAAAACCGAAAGTTCGAAAAAGATCAAAAAAATAAAAAATAACCTTAGACTCGAAACAATACTGAAAAGTCTTTAAAAAAAAACTTCGAAAAGTGTGAAATCTTTTCATTTTATTATTATTGCCTAAAAAATAAAAAAGCAAAACTTACCGGCTTTTACTGCTTCAAAAATATTGACCAGGCTTTGCAATTTATTTTTGTGTTATATGGAATAACAATCTATGTTTCAAAATCAAGCTTTTATTAAGTTCAAAAAATCGCACAAGGAAAACAAGTGTATATTTAGGTGTTTTAAGTCCACCTCATGCGAATATACCCTTATTTTTCCAATTAGCTGCTTTTTGTTAGTCTTAGTTTCCTCCAAACTTTTTCGCGGCATCTTTACCGAATGTGTTTCAAAAGCGTTTGTGTGGCTTACATTTTTTATTTATATTTGTTTAGCATTTAATTTTTATTTATTTATTTATTTATTTATTTATTTAAATTTTAAAAATTTAGAAAGAACCGAATATCATTGAATAAACCAAACTTTTCACAAAAAGGTGTCCAAAATTTTGCAACTGAATAAAACTGAAACTGAAAATTTTGCAGAATTTTCCAAACCAGAACCCATTAAAAAAAAAGAGAAAACAAATGACCTTATTCATAAAAAAGAAGTAATTTTTAAGCAAAAAACAAAACGGTCTTCAATTCGCCTATACAATTTTTTGATTACCGTTAATTTCTTCATGATCCAATGATTGGAGCTAAACGAAATTAGTATGGGACCACCTGTGAGGTATTATTGCAATCGCTTAACATAGTCCAAAGTTATGCGGTAACATACATAAAAAAAAATAAATAAATAAATAAATTACTCCGACGAATTGATAACGTTATCCTTTTTTGAAGTCGGTTAATAAACTAGATTTAAAGAATTTCACAAAGCAGTTAAAGTCGACTTTATTTCTTAAGAATTTGGGTGTAACAGTATATTCGGAATCTGCAACATAAAATTTGAGCAGGCAAAACAGACCCAGCGCTTGTAGACTTACAGTGGACATTGTAGTTTAGTATGTTCCACTTGTTCCCAGTAATTTCAGTCGAGTACATGCATTTTTTTCATCCGTCGCTAGCAGTGATTGCTATCATGAATGTGTGTGTCGCAAGTGGCCGATCTGTAAACCAGTTATCGCTCTGCAATCTTTCCCTGTTAGCGCCAGTAAAAATCAGCGTGTACATATGTATGTATACATATACCGGTGTTGAAAATTTAAACTTTTTGGCAAGGAATTTCACTCCAGCATCATTCCTCCAACACTCTTTTGTAACACCGCAACAACAACAATAACAACCTGCCATCTTTTGTCCTTATATAACCGCAAAGTTCTCAATGTGGAGCTTTTGACAATCGCATTCACTATTTATTTTCTTCGATGCCCTTATGACCTGGAGCGCAATATATGTATATGCACCTGACTATTCGTGGCTAGCATATGCACCGCTTTCCTATTTCTTAGAACATTTGTGGACTCATTAGGCAGTTTGCAGTACACTCGAGCTCTTATCATAATATCATTTTTGAATCACCGGTGTATTTATTAAAGGTCATACGACGCCTCTAAATCTTACTATGCTAAGTCTGCCTAAAACTCTAATGACTTAGCATGCTATGGTTTGTAGGTGTCGATATGGCGACCGGGTGCCATACCTTTAGGTTCTCTTTTTTCTTCAATTATGATATGGAACTTTCCTAATTATAGCCCGGAACCATGTGATCCGTATCAAGTACATATATCTCCCACGCCTATTAAGCTATCTTCGAAGGCTTTCTAGGTGGTGTTATTGGAAAAGCTGATGTGATTTTTTTATTCGTACCACGTTTTAGAATGTCAAATTGAAATACTTTGGCTGCGTTTCTTTATACATTCCGGATAATCCCATTTCACAGCCGGAATAAACAGAATGCGTTTGAAATATACGTCACCATATCAACAGGAACGTTCTAAAGAATAAATAAACAAAAAAGCTTATTCCAAACGTTCAGAATGAATAAAGAAATGCAGCCTTTGTTTTGCAGATTTTGGCAGTTCATTGAAAAATATTAATTTCTGTTTTTCGAATATCTTTATATTGATAATGTCACCTATTAACGGAAGAAAGTATTTATGAAATTTGTCATATTTCCACTTTTATTCTCGTTTGATTAAAACCAAAAAAAAAATAAAAAATGTTTCATAACATTTAAATTAACTTTGTCGCCAAACGAAAGTCAACCAAATCCAAAGATAACATAACATCGTGCCTTCTTTATGACCTAAAACTTGCTATGAATTCAAGTGTTACAAGTGTTTATACTCTGTGTGCCATGCTATTGGTTGACTTCATTTTGGTGTTGTTGGGGTTTATTGTTAAGTACTTACCAAGTTAGTGACTTTTCTTAGGCAGTTATTGTTGTGCACTCACTACATTAGGGTTTTTTTTATTTCCTTGTGGCAAATATACCACCAATGATTGCTTAGAGTTACATATTTGTATTTAACTTTAAAAATGTTATTTAAATTTGATCATTTCATATTTGGAAGCAAAAAGATATTCAAATGCCAGATATTCGATTTGCAAAAGCATCTATGTACATATGTAAAAAGGTGGTGGTAAGGATGCTTTTGTCGCCGTATGCTAAGAGCCCTTTCCATGCTTAACACTTCCTCTTCAAGCTTACGTACGTTAAGCAGAGCAGAGAGACTTTATTGTTGTTCTTAGAGCATTTTTTTTGTCAAAAGAAAAAAATTATGAAACAGCGCCGCAGCTTTAGATAAGT